TATTCTTTTTTATGGCTGAGTAGTATCCATTGGTATAAATTATACCATTGGGTTGTTTCTGCGCATTTTAAAATTGGGTTGTTTGGGGGTTTTTTTGATATTGAGTTGTATGAGTTCTTTGTATATTTGTTGTTATACAAATATTGTTACTATAAATTGTCTGCAAATATCTTCTCGCATTCAGTAGGCAGCCTTTTCATTTTATGATAGTTTCCTTTACTGCAAAAACTTTTTAGTTTGATGTGGTCCCATTTGTTTATATTTGCTTTTGTTTCCCTTGCCTAAGGAGGCATATCCAAAAAATGTTACTAAGACCAATGTCAAAGAGAGTACTGCCTGTTTTCTTCTAGAAGTTATGGCTTCTGGTCTTATATTTAAGTCTTTAATCTATTTTGGCTTTATTTTTGTGGATGGTGTGAGAAAGTAGTCCAGTTTGATTCTTTTGCATGTAGCTGACCAATTTTCCCAAGTATATAATTTTAAGGGAGTGAGGTTCATTTAAACACACAAGTCATTTGCAAATAGGATTCTCATTGACAGCTTTCCTATAAAACGTTGGAAAGAGAGAAACAGTGTTTACTTTTGCATGTATGCTTCATAATATCACATCATCTCAGAGGTCACAGTGCACTGCCCCACTAGCGTGCAGGGTCACAAAACAAATGTCAACTCTGACAGTAACATTTTGCATGGCTGAACATAAAGGAAATTCAGTTCCACATGTAAAGCACATGTTTCACAATGTTTAGTTATAGAATCTTGAAAGAAATGATCCGACATTGCAGACATTGAATAGTTTTATTTTATATTCCATTTTGAATTCTGAATGTGAACCAGATTCTGCAAAAGAGCTTTAGTTCCAGGGAAATTGTCTTTTTTAATTGTTGTGTATTTTAAAGACTCAAATAACAGGGGAATATTTGTAGTTTAACTTTCACATATTTGTAAGCCAGAAAAATGAAATTTTAGACTTCTGTGTTTTTTTGGTTTTGGTATGCTTAGCAAGAAATGTGGCCACATCATTTAATGGGTAGGGAGAAGAAATTCCCTTCAGAAATTGTCAGATCTTGTTGGCATCTTCATCATTTCTCCTCTAGTGTCTCTGGAGTTAGATTGTCTGGATTTAAATTCTGGCTCCATCATCACTAGATGTGTGATCTTGGACAAGTTACTTTACCTCTCTGTGCCTGAGTTTTTTCATCTGTATAACTGAGGTTAATCGTAATACCTGTCCCGTGGTGTTATTACATAATCATGTGAGATAAGCCACTAATGTGCTCACACAGTGTCTGGCCCATGGAAAGCATTTAGTAAGTGTTGGCTGCTAATATTAGTATCAGTTCTCAGAATCCTAGGTTCTTTGAGCGAGTAGGGCCTCCTAACTTTCTTCTGATCCAGGTCATTGTCCAAACTCTCTTGTTTTCACTCCAGGCTAGCAGACAAGACAGTTTCTCTGTTTATTGCTGATTTCATTAAATAACAGGAGGCTCTGAACTCTTCTAAAAGGGAGTCAACTAGATAGTAATGTTCCTTCAAAGAGGAATAATGTCCCTTTAAAAATGTAAAATGGCTGCTGTTCTGGAGGTGGTGTGGCTTCATGATCCACCAGTCCATGTGTACCCCAGGGGCTGCCTTTCTCCTTTCCATTGGATTATTGGGAGCCTCACTCCAGGGCCAGGTGCAGATGACCTTTTGGTGATTTCCTGTGCTGTTCACGTGCACTGCAGATCTTCAGGGAGCACAGGGAGAGAGGGAGAATTGAGAAGAACACAGCTGTATGCCACTGTCCCAGATGAAGGTTGAGAGTTATAGAATACAGCGGAAGTCATCCACTCACGTGCCTGCAGAGAGAAAGCTGGTAATAATATACTTGTGTTAGGTGGGCTGGGTATAAGGGAAAACCCCACAGTACAAGCAGAATGATGAATGTCAGGGAACACTTGGCCTCGATGTTGGGTACAGCGGTGGGGTGGTGGCCATGGTGATCTGCAGGACGTATGACCTACGGAGTGGGGCACCTCTGCTCAGCTCTGTTCTGGTTTTCAAGAGAAACCAGAAATACAGGCTTTATTTAAATAATAGTACTATTAATACTGCTACTACTAATATATTGGGCACTTTATAGGCAACCTTGTACTCACAAGAGCAGGCACATCTGTTTACGCCATATGACATGCATGCTGTCAGTTTGCAACCTCCGAAACAACGGTCTTGGGCGTTAATCCATTCCAGCCTCTCTT